TCACTTGAACATACTTGATGAAAAATTGGAGATAATGAAATAAATGTTTCATATGGTATTGTTGTAGTCGAACATGGACATTTTAGTGTATCCTGATGTATATCTTGTAAATTTCTATAGATATCTATTGATGGATTTGATATAGTCATTGTAGTGATATGTGTACTCAAAGAAGTGAATAGAAGAAGAGTTAAAATAGAACCTGCAAGTAAAATCAAATAGACACGAGTAATCAGATATTGTTTTTTAGTTGCATTGATATTTTGATCAGCAGATGATTTGAATAGGTTAATTTGTCTAATCCATTGAAAAATTTCTCGAATTGATACTAACTTAATTCTAAATATTAATAAGTTACGAACTAAAGCAGGTGCAATTAAACGAAACATGATAGTTAAACCACCATAAAGACCAAGTAAGAAAATAATAGTATAGGATAAACTGTTTTGATCAGTTGTAGTATATGTGCAGAGAAGAGGTGCACAATTAGTAAAATAGTTGGAATAATTGATTGTTGGTGACCAGTCTTCAATAAAGAGATTAGTTAAACGGTCGTATAAAGAAATATTTTGACGATTTGATAATAGAAGAGGATCGGTAAAATTAAAATTTGTCTAAGTGATAAAAGACATTCATATAAAGAAAAATGTCTTTTATGATATACATACTTGGTTTAGATTTGGAAAATAATTTATTAGTTGTTCAAGACATTTGTTACTGTATAAACAATCGAGTGTACTAGTAAGAAGACCATCAAATGTAGTACAACCACTTAAAAATCCATCGACAACGGCAGAAATGTTAGGAGAAGTAAAAGACAAGGGAGTATCAGGCCAATACTCTTCATAACCATCACGAAATCCATATGGTATTGAATAGAAACCACTAGGTACAAGTGAGTTCACTAAATTGCAACTGTCTATGTCTCTCTGATAAACGAACAAGGGCATATTCTTGCGATAGTAAATTGTTGGACTTATAGATAAGAAAAATGTTTGATTATCATCCATCGCAGGTATGAACACGTCCCCCGTAGTTATTGACAAATGTGCATTTGTATTTAAAGCAGAGATCAACGAATTGGATTGAGTTATTATTTGCATGAAATTTAAAGAGGAACTTATTTGTACATATGTACTCGCTCGAATAAGTTTTATATTTTCAATTACTTGAGATCGAACTTCATCTTCTACAAGAAGTTCAATGATGAGCAATTGTTGTTGATAAATATTAGTAAGAACTTGAGAAACAAATTCTTGAGCAAATGAACAAAATGCAGCAAGTAATTCAAACTAAATTTAAAAAAACAAATTCTAGTAAATACATAACGATAGAAGTAATGGAACTTACTTGTGAATAAGCTGTTGTTCGAAAGTCCATCATAAGAAAAGAACTGGCATATGCTATATAGAGTGATTGTATCCATTGTTTACTAACAAAAGTACTTGAACAAATAGGATCTGTTGTTAAAGTATTGAGAACAAAGTTTTCATAGGATATGATAGTTGTTGAACATGGACATGAAAGTGTTTCACCATGTTCAACTCGAAGTTGATCGAATAAAGATGGAGTAATATCCGAAATTGTTACTATTTCAGTTTCTGGATTGACAAAAACTGTGAAGAAGATAACGTACGTAGACGCTACAACAACAAAAAGATCCCATCTAACAATAATAATTATCTTCAGATGTATATACTTACATATGAGTAGAAGAATATAAAGTCTAGTTGCATATCTTTGATGTTGAATAGTTGTTGGTGTATGATTTATCTCTTCATTGTCTTCAGGTATGAAAAGATTATAAATCAATATTTTTTCATACAACCATCGCATTAATACTTTAATATTCATTATAATTTATGTCTTGCTCAGTAAATGAATTTTATTATATGAATGGCATTCAGTAGAAAAAAAGTATTTTTCTCTTAGTTTTTATACTGAAGTGAACTAAGAAAAACTGATAATCATAGTATTTTTTCAACCAAAATTAATTTTATATCAAGAACTTTCATTTTACATTCTACGCATATCGATTTAAATTAATATTATTGACGTCAACACATTAGTTTTCAAAATTAATTTGATATCAAACTGGCTGGAAACAAACGTCGCAATCAACACTTAAGAAAATAATAGTGTGAAAGTATGTGTTATTTTTTATATTCTATAGTATATGACGTCACGTGCAAAGTATGTGGTTCTCTTTACTCAATATTGATAGAAAAAAAAGAGTATTTGCTAAAATACGATGATACTTAATAAAAGTACAACCAAAGTATTGTATTCACAAAAAACCAGCATAAATTTTATCAAAGCATGAATTCATATTTGATTTAAGTAAATATTTCGATGTGACGCATGTGCTATGTGCAAATAAGTTGATATTATAATCTTTATTCATTATCAAAACTAAACAAGACATCAACTGTAAAACATTAGTAGATGACTTTGAAAATGTTGTCAAGTTAGCTGTTCAAAGAATACAAAAAGATATTTGGATATATCTCTTGTGTTGCATACTCTTCGTTAAAAAGAAAAATGATGATAAAAATTTTCTTTTATTATTTCTTATTTTTTATTGTTAAGTAAAACATATCATTTTATAAACTCACTTCATATATAATATTTTCTGTTTTTGTTAGTTTTTCAGGTATAATGGTCATTTTTTGTTTTCCTGTTTAATCAACTCCTAATTTCCATTTATAATATTTGACCACAACTCTCAAAGGGTATACGTCATTTGATACACCTTTTTGATGAAAAATATTGATTCTTACGTTCTATTACACACACACTATAATATCATCAAATTATGCGAATGTCATAACACAACACTAATTTCATGTATGAGTTGTCTACGAATGAATGTTTTGATGATGCAAAAATACGTAATAATGAACATATTGTGGAAACTAAAAATTGTCTTTTCATGTGAAATCATCTGTTTAGGAACACCCCAGTTAATGATTCAAATTTCATTATTTTCCTTGATAGATTATGACAATACATGTGTTATTTCCTTAGTCATGAAAGGACCGGTTACAGTCATAAAAAAAAAGAAATAAGTGGAAATAAGAATATGCGTGATAATGACAAAATATAATTGGTATAAGAGGATTTTCTTACAGTCTTGTCTTGACAAAGTTTTTCCAAAAATGTTAAATAATAATCACTAATGGAACGTGCCGAATTCTATCCGTTTATAATTAAATGATCATCGTACTTCTCTAGTTTTAACTAGTTCATAATCGAATGTCTTGTAGAACTAAGTCACAAAAATTTTCAAAGAATAAAAATCAAATCATGATAATTACATAATTTTCTCTAACACTTTGAATTTTTAATAATAGATAATATTTGATGAGCTACAAAATGCTTAGGTATAGTTTTATTTAATATAAAATAGAGAGTCAAAATTTGTTTATCTAGAAATCATTCATTTGATGAATTGAGTTCTTGAAAAATATTTGCACCATAAAATGAACTTTCATCAATAGAGACAAAGCGAAACTTCATCTATTTTAAAACGTTTTTGAAGTACACACTCTTAACGTCTCATCATTTCACTCTTCATTTGGTTTAATAATGGTGAAATAACAAAAAGTATGTATACTAGAACCGATAAATAATTATTTATTGAACACTGATAAATAAATTTGAATGTCTAGATGTATAATATCAACTTTGAAGATTAAGTTTTATAGTCGCTTATAATATTTTAATTATACTTTCTATTATTGTTTTTGATCAATTTATATAAGAAAATGATGTTATATAGGTCAAATAAATCAACCCATGTAGCTTTGTCTACTGATAGTAAACAGACATTTTCGACATATAAAATGCAGAACTTGAGAGAAACGACAAGAAAATAAATGAAGAAAGTAAAAGATACTAATTTTTTCTTTTCTGTAAGAAAAAATTATGAGATAATACAAACATTTTCTCATTATGTGTAGAACGTAAGGGTATTAGCACGTCGCGTCAGTGTCATTTTCTTTTTTCTATATAAACAAGTTGTGTTTTTTCCTAGCTATCATATAATATCTTTAGAATACAAATAAAAATGTTAACAACAAATACAACATTCAATCTTCCATTGTTAATTAAAACTAAACCATCAACAAAAAAACAAAATTTATCTGAATGTCGAATATGTGGCGCCCCTGCTCAATACGCAAATTTTGGCGTTATTTCATGTCATTCATGTAAAGTGTTTTTTAAACGAAATGCTAATACTAAACAAGTTAGTTTTGATTAGTTTTTTTTTAATTTTTAAAATAAAAATTATTCGTGTGATTTAGACAGCATTTAAATGTAATTTTAATGGCTATTGTGAGATCAGACGAGATGATCATCATATGTGTACATCATGTCGACTTAAGAAATGTTTTCAATATGGAATGACTACTGACAAATTTCGACCATCAAGACCGACTAAATTAAAAACAAAATCATTAGTTAAAGTAAAATCACGAATGTACGAAATATTTGTCTTATTTAGTTTTTAGTTATCAATATTAAATTCTTTAAAACCCGATCATTCATTATTGACTAGTAGTCAATGGACACTTCTCTCAAATTTATATAATGGCTTTGATGAATCTCAACTTTTATTATTTGGTAAATCTTTGGCAGATACACATAATTCTTTACAACCAATGAATGTGACATATCAAAGGCTTGTAGAAAATTATTTATTATCTATTTATGAAACAACAGGAAGATATCTTTGTTTGAATGATGATATTTGTAAATTATCATTTAATGATCGTTCCATTGTACTTCGTAATGCTGCAGACAATGTAACCTGCATGGCTGGTACATTTATTATACATCATCTTGATTTACATAGTCTAGACTCTTATTTGAAAATTATAACAGAAATGTTTGACAGTCGTGCAGTCTCTTTTATTCTATCAGCAATGAAATTTATTAATCCAGATATTATAATATTTAAATTAGCACTTTCATTATTTGCTTTATCAAAAACTACTTATTCATATTCTCCAAATATTCCAATAGATTCAACAAATTCTTCTACAATGTTTCATCTTCAAAATAAATATGCAGAAGTTACATGGAAATATCTTAATTATAGATATGGTTGGTATGAAGCTGTTAAACATTTTCATAGTATCATATATTGGCTTATAGCTTTGACAATGCTTATGGATGATGTACAAAATTTTAGTAGACATGTTGATAGTGTTGATTCACTTGTTGAATTAACTGAACTTACATTTATATTAGATGATGTTGAGGAAATAATCGATACAAAATAGAAGTCAACGATTTTTATGTTATATGTGCTTATTGTTTGTCTTATAGTTAAAGCTTTGAAATATACACAAACATAAATAAATTCAAAGTACATTTATTCTACAGTATTGATCAAGTCTTTATAGAATATCAATGAAATCAATTATGAAAATTTTAATCGAATACGAAGATACATTTACCTGTATATGTATTACAATTTTCATTTCATTATTACACTCAAAAAGATTTTGACAGTTTTAGATGAGAAGTCATTATTCTAACAGAATTGAGCCAGATAGTATTCCTGATGGTGTGGGTGTTGATAAGTAATCACCCTTCGCACATGCAGTATATCTTCGAGATGTTTTTGGCAAAAACAAATAGTACACTTAAATTTTGATATTGAGTTAAGAGTGCGAGGATTTATTAATCATTTACACTCACATCCTCAACAGTTGTGCTTCATTCACTTATTTTTCTATATGTGGTATATTGAATTGTAAGAAAAATTCAGTTGTTTGTCTAACTATTTATTTATTCTATTCACGATGAAGTGAAGTGAAGCACTTTTTGAAGTTCCACAGATGGATGTTTGCGATAGGATGGATATAAAAGAACAGGTCTTGCTATTCGGCTTTTGATTATTTCAAATGATCTAAGTGACATTTTTCGGTTGAATTTCATTTTTCGCTACGAATGAGAGAGAGAGCTAATGAAGTTCATGATCAGATAAATGCAACATAAAAAGTGATACTATTTATGTTTGATATTTATCTTTATTAATTTTTTAATCTTATTAATTTTGTTAACGACAGTCGATAAAAGTGTTAAGACAAACGTCTCATCACAAGTTTTCAAAATGATCATTTTTGAAAACTATCTCAAACACTAATTTTGAAATGTTAAGCAGGTTTCAATTCTATTTTATCGTTAGTCCAGCAGTCTGTCTAATCATCTTTAGTTTATAAATAATATTTTTAGGGATGAAAGCTACACTGACATAAAATTTTATTAAATAACAAGCTGAGAAATTGATAGTAGAACTTTTTTCAGAAACAGTACTTTCGAAACTTGTGAGATTTCATCTTCACTCCAAGTGTTCTTCATTTTTCGACAAATTAGAAATAATATTATCAAAAGTTCATCAAGTTTGCCTTTCATTATCCGATAGTCTATGCAAAAGACGGAAAATGTTCCGTTTGATCGACATTTTTCGATTAATTGTGAAATAGAAGCGAATATTATACCAATAAATTAGAAAAGTTCTGAAATAATGAAGAAACATTAATTATCGATGAATGAGTCGTCGCCATCGTTTGAATGATTCTTGAAATGTTTTTCTGTACAATTCAGAAGGAAGGACAAAAACAATAAAGATAAGCATCGATGGAGTAAATGAAATGAAATAACCAAAAATAAATAATAATCGATGATTCGATGCATTGACACATTCCGATAACATTGACATAATCAGACGGGGTAAAGACAGAATTAGAAGAATAATTGGACTGATTAATAATTGTTTGTGTTCCATAAATTGATCATAAATATGTTCTCTTAGAGTTCGTCTTGTCTGAGCTGTTGCTCGT